CATTGCCATTGGGTGCATTCCGACTCATAGCAACCCTATAGGACAGAGTAGAACTGCCCCATAGAGTTTCCAGGGAGTGGCTGGTGGATTCGAACTGCTGACCTTTTGGTTAGCAGCTGATCTCTTAACTGCTGGGATACCAGAGCTCCTCTAGATTGGAAGTCATTCAAAATACACAGTGGCCATAAAAATGAACTCGAGCATAGCAACAATGGTGAAGATGGTGCAGGACTGAGCTGTGTTTCATTCTGTTGTACATGGAGTCACCGTGAGTAGTGACTGACTCAGAGGCGATTAATAACAGCAGCAGCACAGGGAAACTGCCAGAGTCTTTGCTTAGTTTCTTAGCCTCTTGCCTGTTGTTTTCTTTCCTACTTCTTCACTTGTCACTGCAAATTCCACAAGGAGGGAAGAAGTGAAATTGAATATTGGTTTTACCTCAATATATTTCTCTTTTCTCTGGAATCTTGGTCCTTCAGGTCCTTGGTTGCTCTTTACTGCTTTCAAACAACTTGTTTGTTTTCTTTAAATGCAGTTTTTCTAGTTCTCAGCAGGAACTCTAGTTCTATACAGGTTACTCTATCATTGTGGAAATGAAAGTCACAATATATGTTCAGTTTTGCTTATTTTTTAAATCATGTTATATGTAGTCTTCTGTGGCTTGCTGTTTTCACTGAGCCTTGTTTCTAAGATTCATCCTGTTTGATTTATGAGCTGCAGTTAATTTTCACCATTGTGTAGTGTTATATTGTATGTCAGATCTACCTATAGCTTTTAATCATCACTGTAACAACCAAGGAATTTTCTAGCTTATTTATTGACTTTCTAGTTGTGGGGACTACAAAATACACTTCTCATCCTGCCTGGTAAATCTCAGTGTTCTTGAGATCAAGGTGTTTTCCTTATTTGAAATTCCTGTATCTGGCAGTGCCTTGTATATTGTACATACCTGGTAATGTATAGGCAGTGTATTCTTCACAAAATGTTTTCAATAGTATAATAGCTCTCAGTATATGAGGAAAGTTAGTCATAACTACTTACCATATAAGTCCAGTGGCTTCTTTTTAATTCTTTAATAGTTTTAAGTCCTTTTACAAGTAATGTACAGAAGTAAGAGTAAAGTTAGTGAAAAACAACTTTATGGAAATTTTAATAAGAATTTAAACATTGTAAATTCAAATTTTGATTCCATATTTTCATAGTTTTGAAGATGTATGTACTCATATTTGGCAGTGTTTTTTGAGTGTAACCATTTACTCGTCAATTAACATGCATGAGTCTGGAGCATATCTACCTTGTAAATAACTGATTCCAGGTTCTAGGGACATTCCTAATAGCTTAGCTTATAATTACTAATGGTTCTTCTTACACTTGCACCATCAAAATGCAATACTGATTGCAAATCTTAAATACATCCCTAATAGGTTCTGGCTTCACTTTTGGAAATGCATTGCCAAATTCAACACTTTTGAAAACTTCGAGGTGTCATACTTTTGTTGAAGAGAAGATAGTTGTTTTTGCTTCAAAATTGTGAAACACTTAGATTTATAAGCACCTATTAGAATGATCAATCCAATGAATATTTTCATTTTTATGTTTCTTTCCAGGCACTTTTCTGTATGTACTTCCCCATCAACATTTGATCTTGCCTTCAGTTTTGATCTTAAGAAGCTTAAGATTTACCAGACAGGCTGAGATGTTTATTTTGCAATCCCAACAATTTGGCAAGTCAATTAGGAACCGTATCAAGTATATTTAGGTGTATAAGCATTATAAAATATGGAAGAATGCTGTTAAACATCCTTTCAGCAGAACTAGATGGTCTAGGTTCTTGTCCTAAATATTGTGATTTGAAGTCCTTTCTATTAAATGACTAACTAGTTGAGAACACTGTAATTTCTTTTTTTCCCTAGAAATATATTGTTCTCTTATTTTCTTAAGTGAGACTATTCATCTGTGATGTCATCTGAAAACTCATAGTCTGAGATACTGCTTAGATGATCAATTTCACCATCATCATTAGAGTCCAGGGCATTGTTTCTAAACTGACAGTGGTTTTACCCCCAGGAGACATTTGGTGATGTCTGGCGACATTTTTGGTTGTCACAGCTGGTGGGGGCAAGGGTGCTACTGGGTGTCCAGTGGGTAGAAGCCAGGAATCCTTTTAACATCTTACAATGCATAAGGCAGTCCCCCAGCACAAAGATATCTGACCCAAAATGCCAATAGCACCTAGACTGAGAAATCCTAGTCTAGAGTTGTTATCTCTTTGCATTCATTTTCTGAAATTTGTCTAAAATTTTTCTCTATTTAATCTTTATGGATGAATAATGAAAAATTCTAATTTCTCAACTGTGTTCAAGGAAAAAAAGATTACAAAGATGTCTCCAGACTTTTTTATACCTTCTTGAAAGATGATGCAATACTTTGAGCAGTGGAAAAAGAGAACTGAAGGATATTGCAATAGTGATGATTTATTTTAGCTGTATCACCTTTTAGTTATTTCTACCACATTTCTACCTGTTTTCATACTTTCCATTTTAGTCTTTTTGTCAAGATAATTGAGGATAATTGATGAGTAATGATGAAAGAATTCCTAGATGCTATCTTAGTCATCTAGTGGTGCTATAACAGAAATACCACAAGTGGATGGCTTTAACAAAGAGAAGTTTATTCTCTCACAGTCTGGTAGGCTACAAGTCCAAATTCAGGGCATCAGCTCCAGAAGAAGGCTTATCTCTGTTACCTCTGGAGGAAAGTCCTTGTTGTCAGTCTTCCCCTGGACTAGGAGCTTCTCTGCACAGGAACCCCAGGTCGAAAGGATGTGTTCTGCTCCCAGCACTGCTTTCTTGGTGGTATGAGGTTCCCATGTCTCTCTGCTTGCTACTCTCTTTTATATCTCAAGAGATTGGCTTAAGATGCTATCTAGTAGATTTCATCAATGTAACTGCCACTAATCCGTCTTATTACATAATAGGTGATAGGATTTACAACACATAGGGAAATCATATCAGATTGCAAAATGGTAGACAGTCATAAAACACTGGGAATCATGACCTAGCCAAGTTGACAGATGTTTCTGGGGAACACAGTTCAGTCCATGACAGATGCTGAAATAGCAAATGATTCAAGATATAGGAAAAATAAGATAACTAAGATCCCACAATAAAATAAAGATCCCATAATAAAATAAGATTCCATAATAAGATCCCATGATAAAAAGAGCTCAATGGACCCATCTAGTTATTGTAACAAAAAATAAGTAAATTTTCTCTTTGTTGTTTGGAAGACCTCTAAGAAGGAATAAAAGTCATAAAATATTGATCTTTAAAAACAGAATTGATCAAAAAAGAAAGTAGGTCTATTGGACCCTAGTGGAGAATAGATACTGTATGAAAAAGGGTTATTTAGTCACATTAAACAGTTGCTGTTGTGTCGACTCTGACTCCTGGTGACCCCATGTGTGCTCCATAAGGTTTTCAATGGCTGATATTTTGGAAGTAGATAGCCAGGCCTTTTTTGTGAGGTGCCTCTGGGCAGACTTGAACCTCCATCCAACCTTTTGGTTAGTAGCTTAGTGCGTTAACTGTTTGCACCACCCAGGGACTCCTTTGCAGTCATGTAGGTTTGATAAATGCTGAATTTAATCTGTTTTCCTTCTCAGAACCTTTAACTTGCTAATTGTGCAGTGTAAATCTCTGAGAATGCAGGGTTTCTAATACTTGGTCTTAAAACTGGTCACAGTTATCTTATTTTTCCTATATCTTGAATCATTTGCTATTTCAGCATCTGTCATGGACTGAACTGTGTTCCCCAGAAACATCTGTCAACTTGGCTAGGTCATGATTCCCAGTGTTTTATGACTGTCTACCATTTTGCAATCTGATATGATTTCCCTATGTGTTGTAAATCCTATCACCTATGATGTAATAAGAGTGTTAAGTATTGACATAATTGGGAAATGCTTAGTTAAAATATATGTATGAAATAACTAAGAAATTTTCAGGTAAAAAAGTTGTTTCATAATTTATATCATTGAGTACTGATTATTTTAAGTAGGTATTTTAGGAGGCATTGTATCTGTTGTCATTGCTAAAAAATCTTTGGAACATCTCCTACGCAGTTGCTTTCAATGAGTGCCTGTGGCATCCTGCAAAGTCATCCATCGCCCTTGAGATATTCAGAACTCTACTTGTTTAGACTTTTTAAAAAAACTGCTAAAAGATATTGACAGAAAGATCTGTTGAATAAGATTAGCAGTCAGATACTGTGTTTAGTCAAAAGTGATGTACGACCATCGAATAATGACTCTTGTTTTTAAACAATAAAAATATCAGAAGACAAGTTGAAAAGTGTTTGTTTAATGGCAGCATTGTTGGAAACTCTTTACCCTCTTGTAATAACTTTAAAAAAATAGTCATTTGTGTGAATTCTTCTATTTTTATTAAAAGAGTAATCTTTTTTTAGCTGCACCTTCTGGTAGTCTTATAAAAAGGAATCAGATGTGATCTAAGTGATGTCTGTAAGGATATTTATTGTATCATTGTAGTAACTAAAGATTGTAAATTATAGCAGTGAGTATTTAAAAAAAAAATTATGATACATCCATAACATGTTATACTATGCAGCTATTAAGGAAAACGAAGTGGTTCTATATAGATAAAGTAATCTTCAGAATATATTAAGTATAAAAAAAAGTTACATAACAGCATATATAGAAGGAATTGATTTGTGTAAAAAACAAAACAACACCCAGAGTTTGCGTGTGTGTGTGCATGCACATATATACAATTTTTTAGGAAAAACAACTTAGGAGTAGATACCGTTCTATTTACAGTGGTTATATTTGTAGAGTAATATTGGGGAGATGGAAGTTTACCCCGTATTCTTCAGTATGTTTTGAATTTTTTTGCGGTGAGACTAAACTTAAGTCTTATATCATGAACAAATCACTGTAGTAAAAGATAATCTAATCTTTTGGCTTTCGTATGTTTTGTTAGGATTGGTCCAAAGGAAGATTTTTTCCACTGTTTGAAATGTAACTTATGCCTAGCTATGAATCTCCAAGGAAAACACAAGGTATATAATTCAGCTTGTATAATTTTTAAAGTATCACAGTGTTTTTGAAAACCAGCTTAAATCTTAATATGTTTTGGAAGCATGCTAATTTTCAAATATTACCAAGTGCAACTATGTCACCTTTTTTAAAGGCAGTATTAAGAAGTAGATACTCTAAAATATATGCCTCAGGATATCTGATCTATGGTTCTGTTTCTTCGCTATCATGTAAGAATACTTACATCAGTTACTAGCATAATGTTGGCAACTTCTGAGTTGGTTTATGGATTCTTATCACTGGTACTGCTTTTAAGAATAACTTTAAAAATACGTAGTACGGGAGAAATACTGAGCACTGTAGCCAGTTAGTACAACATTCTAAGAAGACTTAAGATACTTTTTTATTTCCTTTTATAGTTAAGACATATTTTAAATCTGGATGTAGGAATTGTATCATGATCCCAGATCCTTTACAATCTTTTTTCATTTAAAAAAAAAAAAAAAATCAACTATATAGTACTGATTTTACCTACTGTAAGAATTGAGAGAATGGAGAGACCAGTGAGGGTTAGAGTAGTGAGAGTGATATGAAAATATTTGAGAAGGGGGTATAGTTTAAGAAGCAGTATTGAGTGTGGATGTTGAGAGAGAGACATAGAAACACAGACATTGATTGGAAAGAGAAGCATTTGAAATCATTTGCTTAGCACTGAAGTAGGTTCAATAGGAAATGAAGGTAAGAGGCTATTACAGAAATATAGATATTAGATAATAACTGGCCTAAAATAGTATACTGTGTTTTTGCACAAATAATGCATGCATTCATGTTTGTTTGCTAACCGCTCACTTCCCCTATGAGGTATTTGCACTGCTATGCCAATTTTTTTTTATGTTGCTGTAAAAAAAATTACAGAAGGGTGCTTACTAAAATACCTCACCGGGGGAGGGAGTAGTTGGCAAATAAACATAAGAGGTGTGTGTTATTTGCGTAATAATACGGTAGCTGTCAGGGAAATTGATTGATGTGAGTAATGAACACAAAGGATATGGTAGCAAGGTATTTTGGAAGAAGAATGGGCTAACTAACAATGACTCCCAAGGTTTTTAGCCCTGACTTAAGGTACTTGATTAATAGATTGTGAATTTGTTGGAGATAAAGATTGAGTTTGGTTTTATAAACTTGAGTTTGGGGTGATAGCAAGATGTGCTAATGGAAATAGTCATGAGTCAATAGCTTCTTAAGAGATTACATTTCTGTGGTGCTTTATGGTTTCCAAAGCATGTGCAGTGTGTGCACACGTGTGTTTGCATGTGCACACACATAAAACCAAATCATTTTGTCCTCACGACAACATTTGCATCTCATCACCTTGAAGGTGCCATTGATTAACAGATACATTATGATTCCAGAGATTTTAAAATGTGTATGTGGAAAGTGTCCTTTAGAATCAACAGAATATTAATTTTGTTTTATAAATAAGGAAAATGAGGTTCAAGAAATAATAGCTTGTCCAAGATGTTAAGTAAGGGTTAGTAAGTGGCACAGCTAGGGTTACAGTCCAGATATTTAAATTTATTACTTTGAAGGTTTTCCCCCATTGTATTCTGTTGTCTTTAAAAAACTATATATATTTTCATTTTTTGTTGTTTCTCAGTTGTTTATCTTTTGCTTTCTTTATTTTACAAATGGTCCTGCCATCTACTCAAGTGCTTTCATTAAAAACCTGGGAGTCATCCATGACACCTTGCTTCCCCTTACCTCCCCACACCTAATCAGACGCCAAGTCTTGTCAAGTTAAGAACCTGGACTTGAGTCTGCCTCTTGGAACTCAAGTTTAGCTCCACTTCTTATTAGTGTGTAATTTTGGAAGTTATTTAGCTTCTCTTGGCCTCAGAATACCTCCTGTAAAGTAGGGTGATAATTGTACCTATTTCATTTAGGGTTCTGAGGTAATGGGCTAGCATATGGTATGTAGTAAATCTCAATATATATTAACTGTCTTTATTATTGTCAGTATTATTAAGTAGCTTGGCCTGCTAATTTTGGGCAAGGGCTTTGGAGTAAAACACATATAAGATAGAAAGATTCCAAACCTTATTTTCTCTGGATCTTGAATAAGTGTCTTGAGTCAGTAATTCAATTCCCTCATCTGTAAAATGGAAGTAATTATATTTCAATACTTAAAATTTATTGAGCATTTTCATTGTTTCAGGTAATGTGCCAAGCTTGAAATGGTTGTTGTAAGAATTAACGAATAAACTATTAAAATTTTCTTATCTTTCTGACATGTTGGAAGCATGTATTAATGTTAGTTACTATTTTTAGTGAGTCGATATTAACGTTTCCTTTATTGTTAGCTTTTATTATTAATACTATTGTTATATCTGACATCTTCACCTAGTTAAGCTTTTGGTAATGCGAATTTCTGTTTTAAACAGTGTATTGAAAATGTCTCCCGGCAGAATTGTCCAATATGTCTGGAGGTAAGCTTAAAAACTAACTTCGTTGGTTTTTTAAAATCTCCCCACTTGAATTTAAAATATTTGGATATTCATATAGTTTTCATAGGAGCAGTAGCATTTATTTCCTTTGTAGGATATTCACACATCTCGTGTTGTTGCTCATGTCTTGCCGTGTGGACATCTTTTACATAGGTAAGTAAGTACTTTTTTTTTTTCTCAATGATGTTTGAAAATAGTGAAGATAGTTTTTACCCTACTGAAATAATGTTGTATTTTCTTTCAGAACATGTTATGAAGAAATGTTGAAAGAGTGAGTGAGTGGTGGGATTTTTAAAAAATTATAATTTTAAGATGTCTTTTTTTTTTTGTGGATTGGGGAGGTGGGCAGACATTGTTACTTATGCTGTGTTGGACATGACAGATATTTATATTGAGATGGGTAGGGTAGATGGGTAGTATTAGACTGGGGAAAGCATCTTGAGGGATGTAACTACACCTTTGTCCCCATTCTTCTGTTATGCCTTATTTCGTCCGTCAGCTTGAGACAGAAACCTTATTTTCTGGGCATTCTTACCAGGGAGTACAGTCTCTGCCAGAGACAGTCATGGTGTTTTAATACTGCTGAGGAATGTTGCTCAAAATTCTCTTAAGATGTTATACTAGCCCAGTGTAATGACCTGCAAAGAAAGCTAGTAAAGAGATTATCTGAAACTAATAATATACTGTGGGGGAAGGATGTTAAAATTAGATGAGAATAGTTAGGAAAGAAGAGACTTTGTAAATGTAAATTGGCTTTGCAAATTGATGAGCAGAAATTTTAATTTGATATAAGAGCCAGATAAGAGAGGAACTTTTTCAGAATTTTTAAAAAGGAAAAATATCATCTGAATAATTTTTAGGGAATACAGTCTCCTCTTTTGCATGAATGTATTAAGAAATTGAGGTTTGTTTAGCTAAGAAGTAGCATAAAAAAAAAACAACCGTATGCTACAAACAATGTGGATTAATTCCTCTCCATTTTAGAGAACTAAGGAAAAAAATTGGTTTAAAACATACCATAAGATACAGGATTTTATTAAAAACCTTTATAATGTAAAGGTTTCCAAGTTCCTAATAGGCTATCTTGAAATATAGACTAGTGCTCTGCCTTGGATGGTTTATATGCCAGTTACTTTGCATCTCCTTTTATCTCTGAGTTGATATACTCACCAGTTAATGTTTGGAAGATAACTTTTCAATCTCTTCTAGAGGCTACAGATGTCCATTATGTATGCACTCAGCTTTAGACATGACTAGGTACTGGCGACAGCTGGATGATGAGGTAGCACAGACTCCTATGCCATCAGAATATCAGAACATGACTGTGGATGTGAGTAGAACCAATATTTAAAAGCTTTAGGTTTCTTATCAATGTTCTTGTTCTTTTTTGCCCTTTTGCTCAAATTTTGTCTAAAAAATACTGCTTTGATAACAGATGTCAATGTGATGATTAACGGGGAGGACAAAATAATCTCTAAATTTCAGTTACTTTGAGCTCGGACCAGAAAAAATTCTAGTACCTTTGTATAGTTCTTCCCAACACTAGATGGCAGGCAGCAGCTTTCTTCTGAACAGTTTACCAATTACTTGCCAGAATCAGTAACATAACTGACTGGAGGTAGATCACTGGTCTGATGTTTTATTTTATGTTTTACTTTTATTTTAAATTTTATTTAAGGAGAATATGTTTGTTGATTTTTGAAGAAGATTACATTTTAGTTTTTAATGTCTATTACCCTTTTTATTATGATTTAGACTTTATTTGGTCTTTATTAGCCTGCAATCTAAGGAGCCCTGGTGGTGCAATCATTAAGTGCTTAGCTGCTAACTGAGAGGTCCACAGTTCGAACTCACCAGCTGCTCTGCAGGAGAAAAGACCTGGCAATCTGCTTTTGTAAAGATTACATCCTTGGAAACCCTATGGGGCAGTTCTGCTGTGTCTCTAGGGTCGCTATGATTTGAATTGACTCGATGGCACACAGCAACCACAACAATAGCCTGCAACCTAAAGTACAAAAAGTATTTCTCTGCCTTTTGTTATTTTTTCCATTACTTAAGAGGTGTTGCTTTCTATTCTCAGCATAACATTGAGTTATAGATCAGAATTGGAAAGCTAGATAGCTTTCTGATGCTTTAACAATTTTTGGACATTCTGTGAATTTTCTGAACAACCTCAGTGTAATTCGAATATTTTTGCACGTAGTACTTCTGTACGCAAGGATAAAAGCCACACATTGTTGGTGCCATCAAGTTGATTCCAACTTATAGCGACCCCATGTGACAGAGTAGAACTGCTCCATAGTGTTTCCTAGGCTGTAATCTTTACAGGGGAGCCCTGGTGTTGCAATGGTTAAGCGCTGAGCTGCTAACCGAAAGGTCAGTGGTTTGAACCCATCAGCTCGCTCCACAGGAGAAAGATGTAGCACTCTGCTTCCGTAAAGATTTACAGCCTATGGTCTTGGGGAACATCTAGCTCAATTGGCATGACACGGCTTATAAAGACGATGCTCTACATTCTACCTTGGTGAGTAGTGTCTGGGGTCTTAAAAGCCTGTGAGTGGCCATCTAAGATACTCCACTGGTCATCCCTTCGGGAGCAAGGGAGAATGAAGAGAACAGGATACAAGGAAAACATTAGTCCGAAGGACTGATTGTCCACAGCCACCAAGGCCTCCACTGGACTGAGTCAAGTACAGCTAGATGGTGCCCGGCTACCACCACTGACTGCTCTGACCAGGATCACAACAGAGGGTTCTGGACAGAGCTGGAGAAGGATGTAGAGCATAATTCTAACTCACAAAAAAAAAGACCAGATTTACTGACCTAAAGGAGACTGGAGAAACCCTGAGAGTATGGCCCCCAAACGCCCTTTTAGCTCAGTGGTGAAGTTATGTCCGAGGTTCATCGTACAGCCTGGGAGTGAACAGCCCCGTAAAACCAGATGAGACTAACGAGGTACAGTAGTCCAGTGACAAGGGCCAGAAGGCAGAAGGGGACAAGGAAGCTGGTGATAGGGAACCCAAGGTTGAGTAAGGATATTGTTGATGTGTTGTGAGATTGTTAACCATTGTCATAGGGCAGCATTTGTAGTAACTGTTAAATGAGAAACTATTTTGTTCTGTAAGCCTTCATCTTAAGTGAGAATAACAGCACAATTGGAAGAGCGTAGTCAATGTCACTGAACTGTGCTTCTAGAAATTTTTGAAATGGTGTATCTTTGGCTATGTGTATTTTCAGCAAAAAAAAAGGTTGAGAAGTTAGAGGGTTGACATGTTGTGGGGTTGTTAACCGATGTCATAAAACAACATGTGTACTACTGTTTCATGAGAAACTATTTGTTCTGTAAGCCTTCATGTGAAGTACAATAAAAAAAAAAGATTTACAGCCTAGGAAGCCCTATGAAGAAGTTATCTTTTGTCCTTTAGGGTCATTGTGAGTTGGAATCGATTTGATGGCAGTGGGTTTGGTTTGGTTGGAATCTTTACAGGAGCAGATAACCAGCTCTTTCTCCCATGAAGCTTCTGGGTAGGTTTGAACTGCTGAGTGCTTAACTGTTATGCCACCAGGACTCCTTAAAAACCATATATCAAAACCAAATAAAAATTATTTGTTGTTTTATTCAAACAGGAGCATTTCATAATTCATGTGGATGATTGAGTTGTGTTAGTAAGGACAAAGAAAGATCATTTTTGGAATACTAACTGATAATGTGATGTTTTCCTAGAGGCTGAAGTGTGCTATGTTTCATGTAGATAATTTTTTTATAACAGCTTTATTAAAATATATACTATGGAATTCCCCTATTTAAGTGTACAATTCTGTGGTTTGTAAGTACAGTCACAGAGTTGTACAAACATCACCACAGTCAATTTTAGAACATTTTCATCACCCCAAAAAAGAAACCCCATACCCATGAGCATTCACTCCCATTTTCCCCACACCACCCCAGCCCTAGGCAACCAGTAATTCAGTATCTGCATGTAGATCATATTTTAAAAGAATTTTTTTCCAAATTATAATTTGGAGCAAATTTGGAAATTTTCTTTTCTGCTTATTATGGTGTTACTATTCTAAAGCTAATGCTTTTCTCTCATAGTAGTGTGTTGATCTATTTTTAGGTTAAAACCTCTTATTTTTCAGGATCTTAGTACTAGAAGAGATTTATTCCTAAATGGCATGTTACTGTATTTTAGAGATGAGCCAGCAGCCTCTCTACTCAATTTTAGGAACTATTCTTTTTGGACCTTAATTCATTCCTGAGTCATAGGAGATTAGTAATTTAGTATATTAAACCTAAAGAATCAGCAAACATGTTATAATAACTATGTGTAAATCTCAGTTTTAAAAGTTAAGGGAGATACATTTCTAGTGTCAATGAAAAATAATAGAAATTATATATGTTATTTTGAATTGTAAGCATTAGGTGATCTGATTATGCCTATGATAATTTTCTTGCTAGTACTATGTATATTATTTGGAAACTATTTTAAAATAAGTCTCCTTTGCTGAAATCTTTGTTCTTATTTTCAAAATTCAAAGCTACCTTAATGGCCTCTTAGAATTTTCAGTGAAAAAATGAAAACTGTTTCTATTTATGGAAATGTTTAGGCTTATATTTGTGTGTTTTGACATACTCAGTATGATTTTCAAGGGATTGTTTTGAGCAGACAGTGCCACCTTGTATATATATATAAGATTTATATACTTAATTTCAGTTAATCTCTTCATGTTTCAGATTCTCTGCAATGATTGCAATGGACGATCCACAGTCCAGTTCCATATATTAGGCATGAAATGTAAGATTTGTGAATCCTACAATACTGCTCAAGCTGGAGGATGTAGAAATACACTAGATCAGCAATGACCAGCCTGTACTACACTGGAAAACTCAGCATTTTCTGATACAGAAAAAGGCTTTCCTAAGTATCCTGTTGTCATAATGTGTCAGTCTATGCAGTAGAGTTGGTGTGTTTTGTACTAGTGTCACAGCATAAAATCATATTACAAGTACTTAAGGATTCAGGGTCTGTTTATAGAATTATCATAGCTCTGTATTGTATGAAAGCCACTGTGCTTGTGTTTTGATTGGAAATCCCTTTATTATCAGTTGTTTGGAAGCCAATGATGTTTGCCATTGAAATTCACATTCATAAAAGTATGTTACACTTCTGTGGAACTTTGCTTTAAGTGACACTACGCACGCAGAGTTTATTTCTAGTTCTTGATAGAACTGTACTTAATTCTCAGTATTATTCTTGACTTTTTAAGGGCTGTGCTATAATGAGAATAGGTTCTATCTTACTGTTAAAGTCTAATTACATATGCTTTAGAATTTCTAAAACATTCCTGTAAATGTGAATTTTAATGTAATAACTGCTAATAAAATTATATTGAAACAACATTTCATAGAACATTTTTTTTAAGGTTGTCTATTTTTGGCTCCATTAGGGCAATATAATCAATTATATAATATAAAATAAATCTTCTTTTCTTTCTCTTGCAGTATTCTTCTATAAGAGTAGTTGGGGAAAATGTTTTGTAAAGTAGCAGAACTCTTCCAAGGCCTTAATTGGTTTATGGTATTGTTCACATTCAGTATTTAAAGTTGTGTGTTAAAGTCCTGAAGTATTATTGTGGAGTTGTTTTGTTACTCCTTTAAGTTCTGTCAATATTTGCTTCACCTATTTGGGGGCACTAATGTTAGGTGCATGTATATTTATATTACTGTATCTTCTTGATGTGTTGAGCCTTTTATCATTATCCTTCTTTGTCTTTTATAACAGGTTTTGACTTAAAATCTATTTTGTCTGGTATCAATATGGCCACCCCTGCTCTCTTTTGGTTACTATTTTAATGGGTTATTTTTTCCCATTCTTTCAGTTTGCTTGTGTCCAACTCTTCCACGGCCTTCCTTAAGAAAAACAGCAACATTGAAAATAATTTGGTTTAGGTTGCCCAGAATTATTTCGTCTGAGAGTAATCTGTTCATTCATTCAGCAAGTATTTATTGAGCAACTACTATGTACCAAATATTGTGAGACAGGAGTGAACAGTACAGACAAGTCCTTGCCCTCATGGGGATATATTCTAGTGTTCTCATACCTGACCAGCTTATACCTTGTTTTTCTTTTTGCAAGCAGTGAATATCTTTTTTGTAAATGAATAGATTCTTTGTTCCCTAAATGCATGAAAGTAGGGATGAATGGATGGGAGAGGCATGGGACAATCCTGGCAAGATCTCTGATTATATAATACTTTTCTGGGCTCACATAGTTGGTGGAATTATATATATTTCATAATTCAGGAACTAAGTATACAAACATGATCTGGCCAACTTTTTTTTTTTTTTTTTCAATATTTTATTGTACTTCAGGTGAAGGCTTACAGAACAGATAATTTCTCATGTAACAGTAACACATATGCTGTTTTATGACATTGGTTAACAACC